ACACTGACCACCAGGGGGCAGACGCTCAATGCAGGAGCTGCTCCCTGGTGGTCAGTGTGCTCCCACAGGGGAGTTCTGCTCAGCCACAAGCCAGACTGATGGCTGCCAGTACAGCGGTGGTGGTGGGAGCCTCTCCTGCCTCCTCAGCAGCGCTAAGGATGTCCGACTGCAGCTAGATCTGCTCCCCACTGGCACGTGGACATCCCCCGAGGGCTCCCCGGCTGCCAGAGGGATGTCTGACTGCCAGCTTAGGCCCTATCCCCCTTAGGGCGTGGGCCTAAGTCTGCAGGTGGTCATCCCCTGAGGGGTCCCAGACTGCGAGAGCGTACAGGCCAGCCTGAGGGACTCCCCCCCGCACCCTCCCTTGCCAGAGTGACCCCACCGTCCTGATACTGTTTTCCTGTAAGTGAGGGGGACTAGCGGATTCCATTCCCGGGTCGCTTGAAGCGCCCAGCAGGGACGCCGCACCGATGGTGAGGCGGGAGGACAGGTGAGAGCCCCGCTGGAGCTCACGCACCCGGTCCTGGGCGGGCTGTGCCTGTGTCTCGTCGGTGGGGTGAGGATCGGGCCCAGCTCCGGGCAGATGCGGACGCGAGGGGGGTGAGGAGGCCTGAGCAGGGCTTTAGTCACCATTTGGATCCACCGAGTGGAATCAGAAGAGATGGACAAAACGCTGCTCCACGGAGAAACTGGGGAGTCAGCCAGTCCACTCTCCCTTCAGCACTCATGTGGCACCCATCCTGGCCGAATCCCCAGACTGATCGATCCCTGACCCTGGCTGGGCCGCATCTTAGGCTGACCTTTGACCCCGCCCAAGTCCTGACCCAGGGCTTCACCCTGACCTGCCCGAGCTCTGATCTGGCTGAGTCCCTGGGCCAGGAGAGAGGTGTGGTGCCCTGGTCTCCCTTCCTCCACCTCCGCAGGTGACAGCTCCCTGTGAGGGTGACCAACATGTTGTTGTGGCCCAGGCTTCCTGCTGTGCCGGTGGCCCTCCTGGCAGGTGTCTCGGACAGCCCACACCTGCAACAGCTGCAGGCTGGACCCAAGCTACACCCTCACCCAGATGCCCAGGACCTGACCCCCTGCCCTGCCCCAGCTGGCAGGCAGGTCAACCTTCTGGGAAAGGCAAATAAATGTCAACAGTGGGAAGGACAGAAGAGTCAGAGCCCGGCAGAGCAGCAGCTCAAATGGCTGCTCAGAGCAGGGCCTTGGCTTTCTCAACCATAAAGCTCTAGGCTCCTGTGCCCTGCACCCTGGGGACCTGGGCCCGGCCCCCTCATCTGTAAATGGGCTGTTGCCTTTGCTGAATGGCCCAGGTGTTACCCTCATTGTCTGCCCATAAAACTGATGTCATGGTGTTGGCATGTGGCAGCTCATCAACAAATAGTTATTAGATTAATCATGATTTTTCCAGAGAGGTTTCCCAAAGCATCTCCCTATGTGCTGGGAAGTGCTGCCAACGTAAAGGAAGGTGCTGGGCCTCTGCCCCCTGCCCTGGGCTGGTCCATGGGGCCTGGCTCCTCAGGAAAGCCTGCTCCTCAAGCTCTGAAGTCTTCAGTGGAGGGTGTCTAGAGTTTCTGCCTCCTGTTTTCTGACCACAGCACCCGATTTTCTCGTGGGGTTTCCTCATCTGTCAAATGAGGGTAGTGACTTACCTTCCTCATAGGGCTGTGGTGAGTCAAATAAGACATCGCAGGTCTCAAACATGCTAGCTGTTTCTGTCATCATTGCCATTAGTGTCTGCTGTGAACTCTTCCTCTGATAGCTGGGAAAACTGAGGCTCAGGGAGGAACTGCTTGGGTGGGGCATGCGTAGAGAGCAGGGCTGGGGACTGATTGGTCATGCAGGTCCTCAGCCCTGAGGCAGGGCCTCCTGGGTCTAGGGCCCCTCACTGCATACCCCATTGCCCGCTGCTCCCATAAAGCTGCGTTCAGGGGCACCCTGGCATTTCCAGGTGGCCAATATGGCCTCTGGGCAGCGGTGGGCCTGCTGGGTGGAGAAACATTTCCGTGGCACAGGGCTGGAGTGTGGGGAGCACGCACGTCAGGTCGGCTTTGGATACGCATTTTATTACTGTTGGTGAGCAGAGGGGCCTTTACAGGTATGTGGGGAGGGGTGTCCACGTCAGAGTACCCTTGGCCACCCCCTAAAGGGGGCTAGAATATCATTCCAGATGTGGAGCTGGGTGAGGACTCTCCGCACCTCCCCCTGCATGCAGAAACCCCAGTCCCCTGGTCCCGAACCCATGTTCTGCCCAGGAGCAGGTGAGCCCGACCTCACAGCATCCCAGCTGTCTGGGTGGAGGAGGCAGGTGAGGAGGGGCTCAGCCCACTGGCTTGACTTTGGCAATAAAGAGGGCAGCAGCCTTCTCCAGGAACTCCTCTCGGGTCATGGGGGAGCTGGCCCGCCGAGCCACCAGAGCACGGTCCATGGCCTGCGCCAGGCTGTCAGGCCCCAGGCGTGAGCCAGCCTCCAGGTAGTGGGAGGGAGCAGAGGCACCACTGCTGGCCTGCAGGGCCCCCTCCAGGGTGTCCAGCACTGCCTGGCCCATGCGGCGGTCAGCAACAGCCAGGGTGGGGTCCTCCAGCAGTTGGTAGAGGGCGCCAGCCCGCCCCACGAACTCCAGCAGCACGAAGCAGGTGAGCATGCCAGTGCGGAAGACATCCAGTGGCACAGCCTCGTGGTCCCGGCACTGAATCTTGCGCAGTAAGGGTGCTACGACCTCCTCAGGGGCCTCCCCGTCTCGGCAGATGCGCTTGAGCAGTTCACTGTAGGTACGCCCATCCAGCCCCGGCTTCTTCTTGCGCCCACTGGCGCTCAGGCACTCATAGGCCACACCGACATTGTTGTTGAAGGCTGTCCTGCAGGCGGACAGGGGTGTTGGGCCAGCCCAGCAGGGCCCTCCACCCCCATGCCCACCAGCCTAGTCCAGGTTCCTGTCCCCCCTTGTTCTTCCTCCAACATGCCTGGCCTGGCCCAGCCTCAGGGCCTTTGCACAGCTGTGACCTCCCGCTGGAATGCCCTTCCCACAGCTCTCCAAGTCACCTTTCTGGTGGGGCCCTCCCCTCCCTAATCTTTTCCTCTATTTTTTAACAGTTACTACCATCAGACTCACTATATGGTGTCCTTATGAGTTTATGTTTTTCCGACCTGCATGTCCAGGAGCCCACATCAGGGTTTATCTGTCAGTCACTGTGCAAATCCAGTGCCCGGCCCGCAGCAGGTGCTCAATAAAGGCCTGCTAGATCAGCTGACCAGCATCTGCCCTCGGGACTCTCCATCTGCCCTTCTAAGGATAACACTTGCACTTACAGGGTGGCCACTCTTGGCCAAACACTCTGCCTATCTCATTCCATTCCCCGAGTCCCACTGGCCAAGAGTCGGCAAACTACAGCCATGGGTCAAACCCAGCCCACTGCCTGTTTTTGTAAATAAAATTTTATTGGCACGCAGCTACGTTAATCCATTGACATGTTTCTTATGGCAGCTTCCTTGCTGCAATGGCAGAGTCCAACGTTCACAACAGAAACCAGCCTGCAAAGCTGGGAGAACTTGCCACCTTTACAGGGCTCACACCCTGCTCAGCTATAAGGTGGGGGCTATGAGGTGGGTATGGTTCCTTGCCCCATGAGCAACCTGAGGTCCTACTATGTGCCCTGGCCGTGTGTGCTGTGAGCTTCATGAGCAAAGTAGGGGAGCACTGGCTAAGTGTGTGAGCTGCAGGATGAATCTGGAGCCCACACACTTAACCAGTTAGTGTACAGTGGGTGCCCATGCCTCACTGTCATCACATCTGCAGCCCGGTACCTGGCCTGTGGCCCAGGGCTAGTGTGGCTGGTGGCTTGTTACTAGTTTCATAGTCACAGCTGGGAAGTGAGGTTCAGGCCAGGCTGATGGTGGGCCAAGGATCCCAGGGAGGAAGGGCCTGACCCTAGGCCTTAGTATTCATCCTTTCTGGGAGCTCAGCTCCATGGTTCACATTGCAGCTCCACTCTTTTTTCCAATCCTCACTCAAGGATATCTTTCAAACTGATAAGAACAGACACTACACTTGATCTTAGCCAAAAGACGGAGAAGCAATTCCAAGGGTATGTTTTAGGGAGGAGGGAGGGGAGGAGGGGGAGGGGGGGAACACTGAGGGGTTGCCTCCGGTAGGTGCCCTGACCAGGAACGGAACCACATCCTTTTGGTGTACAGGACAATGAGGAGCCACCTGACCAGGGCTGCAGCACCACTCTTATCTCATGTGTGACCTGGGCACATCACCTCACCTTTCTATGGGTTAGTGTACAGAGGGTGCCCAGTAAGTGCTGGCCAACATATAGGTGTCTAGTAAACTTATACTCTGGTCGACTCAGCATGAGGCTTATAAATGGCTGTGCTGACCTGATGAGCTATGTAGGTCAAAACCCCATTACATAGGAAACTGGCACAGAAGTGAGGGCAATAGCCTGGGAGGTCTCTCTCCCAGCTGGGACCCAGTTCGCACCCACCTGGCTATCAACTCCTCTGTCTTCCCATTTATTGGGCCCTTTGCAGTGAGTAAGACCACCCAGGGAAGCAGAACGGGTGCCAGATGCAGTTTCATGTTCAACAAACATTCGTTTCCATGATTACGACTGTTGCCACATAATAACCCTCTGTAGGAGCTTTTATTAGCTCCTTTCACCAGAAGAAGGAAGTTGGGGAATCTGGTGTAACTGTGGCGGCCACGAGTGCCGGTATCAGTTACCCATTGCTGCATCACAACTTACCCCCAAACTTAGTGTCCTAAAATGGCAACAACAGTTATGACGAGGTTTCTGTGTGGCAGGGACTCGGGAGAGGCTAGGCTGGAGGATTCTGGCCTGTTCCCTTATAAGGTCAAGGTCAGGATGTCAGCTGTGGCCACGGTCCTCCAAAGCTGGACATGGAGGTGTTTCACTGCTGGTTCAGACAGGAGGCCGTGGGTCCCGGCCCTGGGTG